CTTTATTAGTTGGAAGATTTGTTTCTCTTGCCTTCACTGGTTGGATGTTATACATAGTTTCTTAATATTGTCTTAATGAGAAAACAGAAAATTTTATTTTAAATTTAAAGCATTTATGCATTTTTTAATTAAATATTTTTAAACAATCTAGTAGAGTAAGTCGGCAATGTTACTAATTTTAACCCTTTTTGAGAAAAACAACAAGTTTTGTTGTTTGAGTTACTATATATTATATTTATTTATAAAAATTGTTTAAACAATTGACTAAAAATTTTCGTTTGTCAGCATTTACATAGAAAGTATTCAATACTTGTTTTTTATACGTTTATTATATATTTTTTATGTTTAAATAAGAGTGGTGAACAAAATGCCACTGATTAATTGTTCATAACAAAAAATAAGCAATGTGTTTAATTTTTAAATATTTATAAGGTGTTCCTATATTAATATATGCATCTATTGTTGGTGAAAAAAAGGACGTTCTTATCTTTAAATTTAAAAAACTTATGCATTTGTTAATTAAGCTTTTTAACACAATTTGATGGAATACGTTGACAATTTTTCTTGCTCCATACAATCATAAGAATCTTTTTCTTTCAAATCAGAAAAAATAAACAAAATTATCTGATATTTAAATTACAGATTAATTATTTATTAATAAAAGAATGTTTAAACAATTAAGTATAATTTTTTATCATTATTTAAATCAAATTTATAGACTTTATATTTTATACCTGATTTATACTTCATATGCATAAAAAAGAACTCTTTTTTTATAGGTTTATTCACTGTGGTCAATTAATTGTTTATAACAAAATAAAAAAAGTTAAAATTATTTAATACTACTCGAAATTATTTATAAGGTGTCCCAGTATTACTTTAAATACATTATGTAAATATAAATGTATTTTTTTTTAAATTACACATTTTTTAAAATGTCTTTTTTTCGTTTTTTGAAATAGATTGTAAATTCAAAAAAATAATTTTTTTTTTAATTTTGCTTCCACTGATAGGAAATTTTATTAGCTTTAATTAAAAAAAAGTCTTTGAAATTTGATGAAAATTGTGATCTCTAGACTGATTTGTCCACGACCACTTTATTTTCCACACTGTGCGCCGCTACTATTCTCCGATTGCGGGCCATTGCCCTTGCGGCTCTCGTTTGTCTTGACAAATTTGTTTTAGTTTTAGGAATTTTTAAACATTTCCCACTATTATGTTATTTTAAAGAATTTTTTTATTTAGTAACCAAATTCCACTTTTTAAAGCCAAAAAATCTCAGCCTTTATCGCACTTATCATCTTCGCGAAAACAATGTGCTCAATTCCCATGAAGCCCAACAAATAGACATACATACTAGGGATGTTGCGAATGTGGAATTTTAGACATCCGCGGATGCGGATGCGAATGCGGATGTCATGTATTTTTAACAAATAATTTAGGTGGGTCGGCCGCTGTGGTGTAGTGGTAAGCAGTGCGCGCTTCCACTCCGCAGCACCTGGGTTCAAACCCTGGTCAAAGCCACATCGCAAAAAAGGTTTTTTTCTTAACAGCGGTCGTCCCTCGGCAGGCAATGGCAAACCTCCGAGTGTATTTCTGCCATGAAAAACAGCTTCTCGTTAAAATACAATCACCGTTCGGAGTCGGCGTAAAACTGTAGGTCCCTCCGCTTTGTTTGACAACATCAAGGCGCACGCCACAAATCGGAGGAGAAGCTCGGCCAAATACTAACATATGTGTAAGCGCCAATCTATTTTTTTTTGTCTTTCTTCCAACATTCTGCGCGAAATCAAGAAGTGTTCGCAGGTGAAGAATGTGTGGTACACATTATCTTCGACGTTTCCACAGTAGTGACAGAACGGTGAGTCCACCCTTCCCATTCTATAAAGATATTCTCGGAAGTGACCATGACCGGTGAGGAATTGCGTCAGGTAGAAATCGACTTCCCCATGTGGTCTGTTCAGCCATCTTTGAAGGTCGGCTATCAGGGAGTGCGTCCATCGACCTTTTGTGCTCGCGTTCCAGTTTTGTTGCCACTGCTGAATCAGTTGCTCGCGCGCCCTTGCCGCGGCAGCTGCTCGACCTATCTCGGCACTGAGATTGTAAATCTCTTTTCGCTCGTAAGCAAGTAGCTCAATTGGCATGACGCCGGAAATAACTAGAACCGCGTCCGCGGACACTGTACAAGCAGTATCTAGTAGATTAATCCCTCGATCTCCTCTTACTAAAAGTTTCCGTAGTTTCGTTCCAGGTCCACAAAATTGATAACTAGGCAAATGAAGTTCAATAGGAAGCTTATTAATTATATTATTTATAAAACCTTTTCCAACGACTAACGATTTACGAATAAATCTTTTTTCATAAATAAGTTCAATAGGAAGCTTATTAATTATATTATTTATAAAACCTTTTCCAACGACTAACGATTTACGAATAAACCTTTTTTCATAAATAACTCTCTTATAAAATAATATTATATTCAAATAAACGCTGAAGTTTTTTTAATAAATCTATGGTTCTATATAATTAAATTTCAAATTTCTAAATACCAATTCAACAGTTAATTTAATACAATATTATTATATGATTTAGAATAAACTTCTACATCATACATCGCTTCCCTATTTTTTCTATTATAATATTTTAATTTAGTCTTAATATCTAAACCCCTTCTTTCATATTCATGTTAGTTTTGATGTTGCTCCATTATGTACTCCTCAATTTCCCCGCCACAAACTGTTAGAAATTTTCCATTATCATCCTCTTCATCCCATTTTTGTTAAAGAAAGCATGGGATGCTCTGACTGGGATGCCTAAAACCTGTAACCGGGGACCATCATCTTCATCTTCAATACATATATAAGGGGTTTTCATGTCTTCAAAGCACAACATCTCCAATTCAAAATCGAAGTTGTACTCTCCATGATGCTCGCTATTGAGGATTCGATTGATTCCAGGCATGATGTGTTTTATAAGTATCTTTAAACAAAGTAATAATTTCTAATGTACAGTATTAGCTTATTTATACACATTTCATAACTATATAAAAAGCATTGATGCAAACTGTTGATAAAGAACATATTTATATATATATTTTAGTAATCTATTTTATACTTCATAATATGATTCAATTAAAATGTGGAAATAATCTTGAACTCAATGTTGCTGACAAAGAATATATTTATTTTTTATTACCCTATTTAAATTTTATTATATGATTCAAATCAAATGCTAATATTATAAATCGTCGCTCGAATAAATAAACAGTGTAAATCCCACATACACTATTATTCGATAATTGCACCATTGGATAGGCAATCCTTTATCCATCTGATTTTCTCCAATCCTTTAGCATAGAATATATAATTTTCTCTTCATGAATGTATAGATATATTCAATAGCAGTCATTAAAGTCGAATCACCATCTTCCCATTTTAATCCATGATGATGATGATATAACCATTATTAGTTGTTTTATCCCGCATCGTCAACTTAGATTTTTCAAAAGGAGGTTGAATAAGAAATATTGTTATATATGAATCATATGTTGATATGCTGACTTCTTTAGCAAGAAATTTCCTATTAAAATATAATCCATGAACATCTATAACCAACGTATATTCCTCTGACATTATATAGCTTAAGCTTTTTTTTTATTAGTTTAAAAAATAGTCTTATGAGTTTCTACAAAGGTTTATAATATTTTTTAGAGTCTAATGAAATCTTATTTAAATAATTGTAAACATAAGTATATATAAGAGCCACCAATTTTATTAACTAATCGATTACACTCCGCTGAATAATGAAAACCAAATATTACATTAATCTTTTTGTATACTACATTTACATTCTTTTTATATTTCATATTTATATAATAAATCCATCGCATTCTATTAAAAATTAAGAAATTTCCATATTCATATCATGTTTATAACTTCTAATATCAATTAATGTGACATCTGAGCGTAGTGTAGTATCATCTCCAGTAACAATTTCAATTTCACTGTTACTTAAAATTTTCTCTAATGCAACCTGACGATACTCAAAACAAGAAATATTCAGTTTCCGTTGAAGGAAATCACTATCATATGTACAACGGATTCTTAGCATAATATTATCCTCATATTTAAGCTGAAAATATCTATAAAAGGGATGTGAACTCTCAATTATTCCTGAAATATTTTTCTCTTTTTGTATTAGATCTTGTCTGAATGCTTCTATGGCTTCCTGTATTGTGAAAAACTTTTTCGGATTAGATGTAGGTGCTTCTGATGTTGTTTCAGGGATAGATGTTTTATTTACGTCTTCTTTTAATCCACTTTGATCACTTTGAGTCCATTTAATTAGTTTAAAGTTCAGTTTTATGTTCATAGTATCATTATTAGATAGTTTTAGATAAAACTCTGTATTTTCATATTCATTTTGACTCAAATCAATAGGTATTGTAGATGGGAATACTTGAATAAAACAAATAAATGATAATAATATAATACAATTATATTTAATTTTAAGTTTCTATTATGAAAATCAAGATATGTTCCTTAGTTCGCGATCGAGATAAAAATTAAATAAAAAATTATAATATGTTAATTCATATATCTACTTTATATATGGAATATATATTTCTCTTCTTTATTTTTATCATTAAAATTATTATTTTTATCGTTAGTGTTGTCATCAATAGTATTATCTTTAACTAAATTTTGAATATCGTTTTTAACGAGCTTCCGCTTATTTGATGAACTTATATCCTCTTCAGCATACCACATAGCTAATACATCAATTTCACTAAAAACGCATGTTGGTTTAAAACTATTTAAGTTTAACAGCCCTATTCTGTTGCCCTGACAAAAATCACCACACTCACTATTGTGAGGTTTCTGACTATTGTGAGGTTATCCCTATGCTGGCGTAAATTCAAAAGCTCATACGCTCACAATTGTCAGGAAATTTATGATGTAAGAATGATACCCTCACAAGAGAAAAACAGCCGATTTTTATTGAGCAATTGAATAATGTGTTGTTAATTTTCGTTCGCTATCAGTGTCTGTGTTAAGTTTTTTTTTTAACTAAAAGTATATTCAGTAATGGCGGAGTTATTGCTTGTTTTTGCGGCAGTTTCGGAAGAGTTAGAGCAAGCATAGGATTTCATTTCCATACAAACTTTTGCTCCAAGTTGTGGATTGCAAACTGTGTGAAGTACTGGAGCTACTCCTGCTTTGTTATTTCTTTTTAAATTCGCCTAGAAAATAAATAAAATCAGTAGTTATCAAAAAAATAAACAAATTGCAAAAATATTTACTTTTCCTGTTGTTCAGCTACCATCTTTTGTTTTTATTTTATTTAGACAGCAAAATGCTTTTCACCTCGTGTGGTGATTTTGTTGAGCTTTTTTCTTGTGAGGTGTGGGCTAGAATAACCTCACAAAATAGACCTCACAAGAAATCTCACAAAGTTTTGGTCACAACTCAGTTGTGAGGTTTTATTAGAATAGGGCTGTAACTTTTTTGTTTTTTAATCACCTTCATAAACTGTAGCAACTATTACAATCATACCGCCAATAGTTTCTCTTTTAACATGTTCATTATGAGAAAATTGAAGTGATGGAAGATTTGAAGGTATTTATTGAGATCTAACCAAACGATCTAAACCGTCCTTCAGCACTTCAGCAGTAAAAAATACCTCTAAGGTTTTATCTGCTGTTATACGTTAATAATATTAACACTTCTCCATTGACCTTGGTAAGTATAATATTATAAGGTTTCACGGTTTACCATCAATACATATTGTGATATGTTTATTTAGTATAAATATATATATTTATGAATCATAACAGTTTTCATTATATTTTATAAAAAAATATATTTTACAATTTTTTTTCGTTAATCATAAGAATAACCTTGAGTTCATCATTTCTTGTTTTCATATTATATTAAAGGTAAACTGTTGATAAAGAACATATTTAAATATACATATATTTTAGTAATCCATTTTATACTTCATAATGTTAAAATATGGAATAATCTTGAACTCAATGTTGTTGACAAAGAATATATTTATTTTTTATTACCCTATTTAAATTTTATAATATGATTCAAATCAAATGCTAATATTATAAATATTGATGTTGATTTCATCATCATAGTTTGTCTTATAAATATATTAATGTTAAGTGGACGATAACGAACCCCCACATATACAACTTACCTACAATCCTCCTTTCTAACAAAACAGAAATATATAAAAAGAAAAGTTATCAAATAAAAAATTATTCAGAAAGCCAATTTAAATGAATGGCTAACTATTACACAATAAATAAGATGAGGTTTTAAACATGAACAAAATATATTTTAATAAGGAGACGAAGAAGCTTTACTTCAAGGCGGAAGACAATATGAACATAGATTCATATATGGAGATGGAGCGGTATATCTTTAAAGAAAGGTGGTTGAAGGATCCGTTATTTATAGATAAACTTGAAGATTGTATGGAAACGGATGTTAACGGGTATATGTAACATTATCGAATGAAAAACAAGCCAGTTGAATCGTTTTTCGAAATGGGTTACTACAAACCTTTTAACAATACTTTAAAAAACTATGATGTAGATTGTAGTATAGTAACCTTTATGGTGATGTATAAGAATGAAAAATATGCAATTATTGAAATAAATGAGAATAGTGTTAATATTTATATTAAATCCTATTAAAAAACAAACTCTTTAAGTCGTGAAAGGAAACTTTTTTTCCATTTTGTTAATTCTCATTCATAGAAGTACATTTCATTAATTGAATTTTTAATAAATATATAGTATATAAGTATATCTCTTTCGAAATTTCTTAAGTCTCTCCTAAACATAAGTATATTTAAAACTTTATTATATGTTCTTTGGTGAAAGTAGGCCTACAGGGGAAACGAACACCAAACAAATAAAAAATCGATAGCGCACCTTTATTGCAAACCTCCCGGGTGGTGTGGAATATGCAACTACTTCATGTATAAAAATTTAGTACTTATATGAAAAAGTATTACTTGCATGAGTTAATAAGACTATTGTATGAAAATTTGGAGCTTATATGAATTAATAAAATTAGTACTTGGATGAAAATTAATGAAATTGTATAAGACAATTACTTGTATGAAAACGAATGATCTAATATGTTCATAGTATCATTATTAGATAGTTTTAGATAAAACTCTGTATTTTCATATTCATTTTGACTCAAATCAATAGGTATTGTAGATGGGAATACTTGAATAAAACAAATAAATGATAATAATATAATACAATTATATTTAATTTTAAGTTTCTATTATGAAAATCAAGATATGTTCCTTAGTTCGCGATCGATATAAAAATTAAATAAAAAATTATAATATGTTAATTTATATATCTACTTTATATATGGAATATATATTTCTCTTCTTTATTTTTATCATTAAAATTATTATTTTTATCGTTAGTGTTGTCATCGATAGTATTATCTTTAACTAAATTTTGAATATCGTTTTTAACGAGCTTCCGCTTTTATGAATTAATAAAATTAGTACTTGGATGAAAATTAATGAAATTGTATAAGAAAATTACTTGTATGAAAACGAATGATCTAATATGAGTTCCTAAATTTAATACTTGTATGAAAAATTATAATTTGTATGAGGTAATAAATTTTATACTAGTATGAAAACCCACAACTTCTATGAGTTAAAAAGTTGCATGAAAATTTTTTAGCAGAACCGAAAATGTACATATGAAAAAAAAATATGAAATTGATAAATATAAAATTTCAACAAAATAATGCACATTGAGAAAATCTATGAAAATTTAGAGCTTGTGTGAATTAATAAACAATTATTTATAATAATAATAATAATATCCCAACGGTTTTTACCCTCCATTCCCGCCCATCCGCACGAGGGGCGCAGTCCGCATGACGTACGGAACCAATATTTTAAATTTTTGTGCCGAGTCACGATAGGCAGGAGTTTGTTAAGTGTCGAGATCTAAAACTGTTCAGCTACAGAACTAAATTCATCAGCTGATTTTATGTATTTATGTCAATAATTCACTTATTGAGAGAGGAGAGTATCGCTTTCTTAATGCTGAAAAGCGGATCTGATATATCAAACGTGCTGGAATGAGAGTTAAAATCCTGGCATAAGCAACGGAGTGGGTCGTGCAATTCAAAATTGGTTTTACAAGCTTTCAGAAATATGGGACAAAAGTGTCTTGATACGCGTGACGGAACATTAAAGCTTACATCAGCCAGAAGAGACGGACTTGAAATTGAGCCTGTCAGTAATTTAACCATAAAAATTGTACCAAGCATTTCCCTGCGACTGGCAAGTGTAGGAAGGTTAATAAGTTTTAAGCGACTCGTATAAGGTGGAAGACTATATTGAGAATCCCATCGGAAATTTCTTAAAGCAAAAAGTAGGAATTGTTTTTGAATTGATTCAATCTTGTCTGAGTAAATTTGATACCTTGGATTCCAAACCACCGAGCCGTATTCCAGAATCGGCCTAACTAATGTTGTAAACAGGGTTTTAGTGATATACGGGTCACTAAATTCTTTTGACCATCGTTTCACAAATGCAAGTACACCTTTAGCCTTGTTGACTGTCACATTAATGTGAAGATTAAAATTAAGCTTAGGATCCATTGTGATACCAAGGTCCACAAAATTGTATACCTGTTCCAGGTTATGGTTACCTATTATATAAGAAACTGGCAGAACAGCTCTTCGCGAGAAGCACATTACTTTACATTTCTTAAGATTTAGAGGCATACGATTTACTTTACATCAGTAAGCCATGCTGTTTAAGTCTGATTGTAGCAAAGACCTTTCTTCAATTGAAACGTACGATTTATAAAGTTTTACATCATCTGCATACATTAAAATTTTGGAGAATTTTATATCTGTAGAAATATCGTTTATAAAAAGCAAGAACAGAATCGGGCCTAGGTGGCTACCCTGAGGGACTCCTGAAGTAACATCAATGACGTCAGAGATAGTATTTTTAAACAATACCCTTTGTGATCTATCATAGAGGTATGAAGAGATCCAACGTAGAAAATTAGGTGGAAGACCAAGAAGATCAAGTTTATAGATGAGCAACGAGTGGCACACTTTGTCAAATGCTTTACTGAAATCAGTATATATAACATCAACAGTTTTGCTCTCACTAAATGCTTTTGAGATATAGGATGTTAATTCAAGTAAATTTGTAGAAGTTGATTTGCCCTTGCAAAATCCATGTTGACTGTATGAAATGCTTGAAGTGATAGAATGCGTCAACCGATTTGTTATAATTGCTTCAAATAATTTAGGAATTGCAGAAAGCTTAGCTATGCCCCGGTAGTTCTCCACTGAAGACCTGCTACCGCTTTTATGTAAGGGGGTTATGAACGATTCCTTCCATACAGTTGGAAAAACGCCCTCTTTAAGAGACAAATTAAATAAGGCTGTTAACGGCTCATAGAGATAATCAGCACAATTTCTAAGAAAACAAGTGGGGATCTGGTCAGGACCATAACTAAAAGACTGCTTTAAGGACTTCAGGTAAACTAAAACATCATCGGGAGATATTATAGGGTTATGTATTGAGTTAATTGGACTTAGTTTAAAAGGATAGTCAAAGTATGCTTGGGAGTTAGTGGAATAATTGGATTTAAAAAACTGAGCGAACATGTTAGAAATTGTTTGATTATCACCAGAGACGGTATTTTGATACTTCATGGCCGAAGGAAACCCACGTACATTTCGCTTGGAGTTTACGAAATCATAAAATGATTTGGGGTTATATATTATACGTCGTTGGTTTTACACAAGTAATCTTTATAACACTTTTTGTTTAATTCAAAGAACTTGTGACGCAAAAGTGAGTATTTTACATAGTATGAGTGTAAGCCGGTTTTTTTGTGTAATTTAAAATAACGTGACTTTCTGTTTTTCAAGTTTCTCAGTTCTTTAGTGAACCATAACTGTGTTTGTTCTACAGGAACACACATGCGTTTAGGCACATACTTTTCAAATAATCTATGTACAGTAAAATTAAAATGTGCAACGCTTTGCTCAACTTTTTCTTTGTATATAGGCCACGACAATTTAGACAATTCGTTATTCAGTTTTTTAAAGTTGGCTTGCGAAAAATCAAAGCGAATATTTGGCTCGTATGTTTGGACATCGCAATTTTGACCATCGTTTATAATTTCGTAAGATATCTCAATAGCAGGGTGGTAGACATCTTCGGGCAAAACTAGTGGGTCACATTTATTTACAGCCGACTTAGATGCATCATCAACATAAACAAGATCTAATACTTTGCCAA